AGAACTCTTATATATATATATATATCAATCTCATTTAACATTAAGTATAATTCTTCTTCATCTTTCTTCTTCCTCTCTAATACCCAAAAATCCATAGAAAATGCATAAATTATTTGCAGTAAGGTCCTTAAGTTCTGCCATAGCAAAAAACTTCAAGTCCCTACAAAATCAACAAGCTGCTTTTTCTACTTCATTACTATTGGATGATACTCAGAAACAGGTAAATAAATTATATATATACCTCAATTTGTCATTTCAATTGAAATTTAAGGACCAAATTATAAGTTAAAGTTAATTTTGAGGGGGTAAGTTTTACTATTTTACAAGATTTACTAATTATATTTTGTTTGCATAATTTTGTAGTTTAAAGAAAGTGTAGCAAAATTTGCTCAAGAGAATATAGCTCCTTATGCTGAAAAGATTGATAGAACAAACAGTTTCCCAAAGGTTAATAAATTCATTATATTTAATAATGCGATTAAAATTTAAAGATTTTAATGAAAATATGATTATAGAGATTATTTATTTGTCTATTTCATGATTTTCATTCAGGAGATTAACTTATGGAAATTGATGGGGGACTTTAATTTGCATGGAATTACTGCACCAGGTAAAAATGATCTGATAATATAAAAGTTATTATAGTAACAATGTATATAAATTAGGATAAGAATATATATTATTTAATTATGATTAAGTTGCAATAATTTATATGTATATATAATTGATTTAGTATAGATATTGAGTGTTCAATGATCTTATTGGGATCGTAAGATATCCAATATAATTAGTTTATAGGAGTATTATATAATATAGTCTTATGAAGTACTAGTTGCATTATAGTAAAGATTCAATAGAAATAAAAAATATATTTTTTTTATATATAATGTCCTTTTCAAATCAAAAGACCAGAGGCAGAGAGTAGTTAAATGAAGTAAATGGAAAGATGGTGCCAGGGATGTAAGTTATAAATGACCCATAATTCGTCTAGATTTTTATCGGTTGAACTCAAAATAATTTAAATTTAGATAAAATTTAACTCAATAGTCAAGCATTGTCCATTTCAAAATGATTGTCAGTAAAGTCCAATTTAATTCTCAACTTCAACCTGTTTTTTTATATTTACTAGCTAAATAGTATCATATTTTGTCCAAATATTATTCATTCATCTAATAGGATTGGATCTCAAACTCTAGATCGAGTCAAATCGGGTCTCAGATTCTGGTCAAGGCTCAAATCTTGGGTCTTGGGTCAAGGTCAGGTTTGGACCCGAGTCAAATATCAAGTCCCAACTTACATCTCTCGAGTAAGGGTCAAATCTCAAACTGTCAGTCACGCCAAATCAGATCTTCGGGGCTCATGTCTAAAGTTTTGGGTTGATTTCGGGTCGGGGCTCATGTCTTTTAAGTCTCGAGTTGGTTTTGCGTTGGGTCTATAATCACGAGTCCCAATCATGCTTGGATCTCGAATACCGAGTTAGGCTCGAGTCTCGAGTCTCAATATGATAATCCCCTACAATTTGGTCTCAGATTAATAACTATTTACATGTCAATTTGTGACACTATCTCATGAATAAATAATCATATCGTAAAAACCAAACATGAAAATTCCCACTATTATGTAGTATAGATTTTAGACAGGCCAATTTTTAAAAAAAATAACATATTCCAATTGGAGAAAAACTCATCGCAGAAAACAAGGGCATCATCATCTTGTTGTAAAAGCATTTTCTATAATAGTATTATGATCAATTATTTCCACAAAATAATGTCACAAAACCAAGTGCACAATTATATTTCAACAAAGTGAACAACATTTTCCTTAATATGTTCACTCCGTTTCACTTTAACAAATCTAAGAGAATTTTTTGTGTTTACTCTAGTGAATATTATTATTTATATATACAAAAGCTAGCTAGCGTTTGAGTTCTGCTGAACCTGTAACAAGACGTGTGTTATATGTAGAGGAATATGGTGGTCTCAACCTTGGATATTTATATCACTGCATTGCCTTAGAAGAAATTAGTCGTGCATCTGGTGCTGTTGCTGTTTCCTATGGTGTTCAATCCAACATTTGCATCAACCAATTGGTAACTATTTATATATATAATATATGCTTTATAGGTACAGTACAACGTGTTTAAATAGTTGTACCGTATACGTTGACATGACGATTAAATTTTGATGACATTTTAATTTGTAGGTGAGAAATGGAACCCCTGACCAGAAGCAAAAATATTTACCAAAGGTTCTACTAATTTTATCTCTCTTAATTATTTTTAAAAAATTTGAATGCATAAAATTGAAAAAGTGTAGTCTGATGCACTAAGCTTTTGATATGCACGGAATCCAAAAAAAAATCGAATCATGAGAATCTATTGTATGTAGTCTAACTCTATTAATGACTTTGATTTTGTCATGAAGCTTATAAGTGGGGATCACATTGGGGCTCTAGCCATGAGTGAACCAAATGGTAATTTGTTATAATTAATTTACTTTCATTATCAATTTGTTTTTACTTATGATCACTTAATAGGTAATTTAATAATGTAAATATACTTTATACTGTCAATGTATAGAAATTAAACGATCAATAACACTTTTTTTTTTCACTTTGCTCAGCTGGGTCAGATGTTGTTAGCATGAAGTGTCGAGCCGATCGTGTCGATGGTGGCTATGTTTTAAATGGAAATAAAATGTGGTGCACCAATGGTCCTGTCGCTAATACTTTGGTATATATCTCTTCATAATTATTATTTTCACCGTTCATTTTTACTTGTCTAGTATTAACTTAACACACCCTTTATGAAGCAATAAATACAAGTTAAAGTGGATGAAGGAAGTTGTAGACTCCTTTTTTTTTCCTTTTTCAAACTTGATATTTAGACACAAATCGATCTACTATTTAATTTCGTATTCTTATATGTGAACTATATACTATAATTTTTCATGGTACATTATTAAGTTTTGTGTTAAACTTATTAATCAGATTGTTTATGCAAAAACGGATACGACTGCTGGTTCAAAAGGAATTACAGCATTTATCATCGAAAAAGAAATGCCAGGGTACGTAACATACGTACCTCTCACTTATAAAATTCAAATTCTGAATCTATCATCTTTATACTCGTATCAGAAAACCACCATAAATGTCTTAAATAAATTGCTTTCACTAAATAACATTGCTATTTAATTTCATAATATATTGAAAATGCAGATTCTCAACTGCACAGAAATTGGACAAACTTGGGATGCGAGGAAGCGATACGTAAGTTTAAATTAATAAATATCGGGCGAATGGCTAGTTTCTAGTATTTTTTAGCGGAGCTAGCAATTTGCCCGATAATAATATTGAGGAAATTGTAGTAGATCTCATATGAACTCAAAAATTGCAGGTGTGAACTTGTATTCGAGAATTGCTTTGTTCCTAAAGAAAATGTTCTAGGGCAGGAAGGAAAAGGTAATTTATTTATTTTTCGAAAAATCTTTACAAATACGATATTGTACGTATCATTTATCTCATCACGTACATTTTCTCAATTTTTCGTATGTATAGGAGTGTATGTTCTAATGTCGGGGCTAGATTTAGAACGACTTGTTTTAGCAGCAGGACCGGTTGGAATAATGCAGGCATGTATGGATATTGTTATTCCTTACGTTCGACAAAGGGAGCAATTTGGAAGACCAATCGGCGAATTTCAACTTATACAGGTATATAACTATAACTTCATTCAGGCCACTAATTTTATTGAGACGCTCTTTAATTCAACTTTTTTCCATCCAGGGAAAACTCGCTGACATGTATACTGCTTTACAATCTTCAAGGTTAGAATTTCATTCGAATTAAATTATTATTATTATTATTATTTATAGTAAATTCATATTCCTATGTCAATTATTTTTATTGTATTTTTCAGATCATATGTGTATGCTGTTGCAAAGGATTGTGACAACGGGAAGATTGATCCAAAGGTTATTTTTTATTTTGTGTGATTTATAAAAACTTCTTTAATTTATTTCTAAGTTTGTAAATTATTTTAATTTTCAGGATTGTTCTGGGACCATACTACTTGCAGCTGAAAGAGCTACTCAAGTTGCTCTTCAGGTGAAAAATAACTTCCTTAACGTAAGATTGTCCGTATATATAACTTAAATTTGTGTCTGAGTGAAAATTAAATTGCAGGCAATTCAATGTCTAGGTGGAAATGGATATATAAATGAATATCCAACGGGACGTTTACTAAGAGATGCCAAAATGTATGAGATTGCAGCAGGAACAAGTGAAATAAGAAGACTTGTAATTGGTCGTGAGCTCTTTAAACATCAATAAGTAATTACAAATTATAATTAATTAGGGGATCCTACATTATTTAATTTCTTCTTATATCCCCAAAAAAATTGTATGTTTAATCAACAAATTATATATTCACGTATCTTGTTCTCGATGTTCACAAGAAAGTTTGACCCGATATTTTGTCCTTAACAAAAACAAAAGAAGAGTCAAAATTAATTGCACAATGGTTATCCTTACCTTCTATCTTTCTCAGACTTTTCTTGTGCGATTATAACTTAAGATCGTGGATTATAATTTATAAAAAAACGAAAAGAAAACTTACATTTGATCTTTCCATATGAAAAGATACGAAGGAAAAAAAGAAATACTTGGGATATATCTTATAGAACTGTTGAGAGAGATACTCAAGATTCTAGGTACTAACCATTTACCCGTCTAAATTCCATATGTAAGATGTTTATCTTTCATATTCCACGATAACAAAGAAATCGAAATTAATCATTCGATGTCTACTTTGTTCTTCCCTCTTCAGTTCCCATACAATTTGTTACTTACAAACTAACAATTAGCCATGGCATCACATAATAGCATCGACAATCATAACGACGTCAAGCAAGCAAATGGAAGTATACAAAAATATAAAAGACAACAAAATAGAGTTTAAAAAGGTCTCAATTATCTCCAAGTTCTAAAACTAGTTTTTTTTATTTTTTTTGTAGTTTTACATTTATTTTTATTTTTTATTTTTTTTTATTTTTTTTATTTTGATTCCAACTTCTTCCTATATGTACACCTTATAATCCTAAGACGAAAGTACAAAAAGGCACAAGGTATCCCCTCATGGTAAAATTTTAGCTCAACCTCGGAGGTAAAAATTAACCTCACAGAAGCTCTATATACAAAAATTTTGCCTTGATCATCTCAGAAAGGTAATTCGGCAACTTGAGCTCATTGTATGGACTGCAAGGCATCAAAATTCGCTGACAGACGGTTCAATGAAGCTGAGAATCACACGTTGGCTAGTGACCGTCCTCCTTTGTGCTTGCACTGGCACCTCCTCTGGCATGTTTGAAGTCATCCAAATTTCGGAACTCTTCTCTGAGTAGTCTATCCAGTTCTGGAAGCTTCTTCAAAGGTGCTCTCTGACCTCGTTGCTGACGAAAATGGTGAAAGGCCCTTCCAGAATGATTGCAGTAAGATCATGTTAGTAAGAGCATACAAATACTTCCAATACAAAATCTAGATATCAACAAAAGCAAAGTTAATGTGTACATATTATCTCTAAACTTACTCTAAATCAGCCCTTCCACAACACCTTCCCCTACACATCCGAGGTTTTACTTTTAACAAAGGGAAAAGGGTGGTCAGATACACTATATGCTCCATTCGTGTATATGGGGAACCCTCCCCACTTTTTATTCGATAGTCACTCAGAACTGAAGTCCACTATAAGGTATATGTTTTGTTTTACTTTTAGTCAGAAGTTCTCATGGTTCAATTGGTTTCACATTTAATTATTGAAGGATTTGATCGGCAGTTTCTTCATTTGCAACTTTGGTTACAGGTATATGTTGGTTCCAGTGACACACTTCATTTGCAGCATTAACCTAAGTTGCGCGGACACTTAAGCAAACAAGCAATAGTCACTCAGAACTAAAGTTCACTATTAGGGCTCGTTTGGTGTGAGGTATAATAACAAATAGTCCCGGGATTAAATTATAGTACCGCTTATTTTGTTGTTTGGTTGGCAAGTTCGGGATAACTTATCCCGGGATTAATAATTAGTACCGGGATAAGTTATCCCTCTCCTTGGGTGGTATAGTAATCCCGGGATAACTTATCCCGGGATAAAATAGGTAAATGACAAAAATGTCTCTTTCAACCCTTTTGTTATATCACTTTTTACATTAATGAAGGGCATTTTTGTAAACAAATAAATTGTTCTTAAAATTTATTATTTTGAATACAACAAACCAAACACTCAATAAAAAATAATCCCAACACAACTTATCCCATCATAACTAATCCCAACATAACTTATCCCAACATAACTTATCCCATCATAACTCATTTTCAAACCAAACGACCCCTTAAGGTATATGTTGGTTTCAGTAAGGAACTCTTTCAAAGTCCATTACTGCTGTGATAGAGGGAGATCCTTGAAGTTTTGCCCATGGGGCAAGGGGTCATAAATTCAAGATCATCAATTTCCAAGGTCATTGGTGTAATTTCTTGTGTGATAGATCAACAAGATCCTTCACAACCAGGAAGTCCTCTAAAGAAGGCAGCAAAAATTGATCATGGCACGTTACCATGATGCTTCTGCTAACATGCTTAGGCACATGGGACTTTGAAAGAATACCGCAACTATGGGGGTCCCAGGTAAGGAGAATGAGAGAAGAAAAAGAAGATCAAAATGCAAAAGAAGAAACAACGGGAACTTAGAAGGGAAAAAAGCAAAGCAAACAAAATCAAGTCAGGAAAGCAGGATGGAAGAAAGGATTCAAAGTAAACTCTTCCACTCGTGTTACAGTTGCTATAAATAATGCTGTTATTCAGAAACCATTTTTTAAGGGAGCATTGCCTCTCTAAAATTAAGAGTTTTAAAAAATACTGAACATGGATCACTGAATGAAGTGAATCTAAAATTGGAAAGGCAAGTAATCAGAGGTTTAAAATGATTCAGAAAACATAGGTTCTAACTTGGCGCTTAAACAATTACTATAAAAAAGCATCCTATCTACATGATACCTTAATTCCCAGTGCTTTGATCCTTCAATGTCAGCCGGAGTCTCATAGGTGTCACAAAAAAAAAAGGGGAGGAAAGGACACGGAAACGAGAACTTTCAAACAAGGTAAGGTATATTACCAGTACTTCTCAAGGCCGTAAAGGTTTCCCCTATTGTAGGTGTCAAGCGTCAATCTCTCAAAGTCGTCATAAAGGCCCTCTCTAAATTCCTTTTCCAAACCATAACTGAAAAACAAACACAGTATAATGAGCAGTCAAATAAGTATGTCAGAAGGAAAGGGCAACTGACTGCTGAAAAGAAGAGTAACTGTTGAAGTTGCATCACATGGAGGTGGATCTAGAAAAGAACAGCTGAAGAGTTCAAAAGTAAAAGGGAAAACAAAACATGTCATTCTTCCCTTTTTTCCATGTAAGTCACAATGGCACGTAAACACTACCTATAAAATCTAAATAGGCACTCCATCCCATAGTTATAATTAGCAGCTGCATCTTCTTGAGCCATCTTTTGGAACTCATTGTACATAGAACGTATGAACATGTTCCGCAGAAAATATGACCAAAACCTGTAGAGTGTATTCATTTCCTGCATGTCAAAAAGATAAGAACCTTTAGAGAAAATTAATTTATGCAATTTAGGCACGTAAGTTGATGGCCAAATGAGCAGTATATGGACAAATAGATGCATCATACATGTGTATATGTATGCATAGAGAGAGATGAGTGAGAAACCTCTCATTATGAGTTCAGCCAACTGCTTAGTAAGAATATTGTTCATTCGTAAAGTTCGTAAGCATTCATGTGATTCCTTTCAAGCAATATCAGGTTTGCAAATTCAAGAGAACTGTCCTTTTTGTACAGATTTATTTTTAAATTGGATTTATCAACAAACAGTACCTTTTAGGTAAAGAACAGTACTACTTGTGAAAATTTGTTTCATAAGTGGGTTATAAACAAAGAGTACCTTCTAGGTATGGAAAATTTGCTTTTCTTCATGAGGGCACTGGAAATTTTCTTTGTGAAAAAAGTTGGATAGATTTCTCAGAGACCTAATGTTAGAACATTCTAGTAATTTTTTGTTACCATCTTGGTGCAACAATAATAAGATGAGTTTTGACTGGTCAAAACAAAAACCTCAAGGAAGTCCATGAAATCATGAAACAAATTTCACATTATACATAAAGAGATAAGTCATCTTTATTTTCATATCCCACCCCTCAAATGAACTTGCAGAATAAAAGTGATAAATTCCTCGCATTTAATACCCTTATATAAGAAGCAATTCACTGTTATTAAATTTAATATATTTCCTCTTTCTTTCCTTTATGTCATCCTCAACAAGAGAGTGATGCTATTATGAAACTAGTACATCAAACACAAGCCAATGCAGAACAAAACTTAAGTAGGCACCTCACTGCAACCAACTCCAAGTTTCTTGCGATCATTCAGACAGCGCTTATGATACTTCTTGTACCTAAAAGATGGAAAACCCAAAACCAACATTCAGGAGCGAAAAGAGATGCACAAGGAATATATGTATAAGTCAGTGCACATGCAGAGCCGCCCATGAACAGATGCATGCACTTGAATACAAAATGCAGAGAACACCAACTCCTTATGAAAGTAAATCTACTCACAGCTGTTGTGTAAAACCATTTTCTTGTAGCAGCTTGTGACTTGGATGCTGGAAGGGTGGAAATGGTTTAGGCATGGAACCCACAGGTGGACTACTACTTGCAAGATTGCTGTGCGGAGAGGCACTCAACTTTGAAGGCCTTGACCTGTAAACAGAAGTTCAGGTTACTAAGTTATTGTGTAACAACCCAGAACTGTTTTCACAATGTCCCTAATAATCATATATTTCATAGACTTGCATTTGCTCTTTGACAAAATAATTAAATAATCTCAAACATATTACAATACACAACTACATTAGAACAACACCAGGGATCCAGAACATACACATGACTGTCAGGAGGTGTAGAACCAAAGAAAAACCCAACTGAATCGCTAGGTGGACTTTCAGATATTGTTCCTACACTGTTCCGAGAAACGCCATGATTCCGGTAATTTCCAGAAAACAGCCGCTGCTTATGTATTGGATGTGGCTTAGCAAATCCTTTGTTTTGCTTTCTCCGAGAGTTAGAACTTCCAGGACCTTCAGTGTTTTTCCCTCCAGAAGAATGATCGGCATACTTTGATTTTGATAAAGCAGCACCAGTACCGGAAGACCTAGTAATGTCATCTCTAGGATCATTATTGTAGTTGTTAGATCTATGACTGGATCGTGTAGCTTTAAGCTCCTGGAAGATGAGAGATCAATATAATATTGTATAAGTTGAATAGGGAAAGAATGACCTAATTAAAGCAACCACCAACCTGCTCGTAGAAGTAGAGACCATCATTTATTGCAGAAGCAAGCTCAGTAGATATTGGTTTTGATTCTTTTCCAACAGTTCCAGATACCTGAGATGCCCGAGTGTTCTGTAGAAAATCCACACAAATGAGGTAATTAGCCTAATTACACAACACTCCAGCTCATAGTGTAGCAGAAATAAAAGAAAGGCAAAAGAAGTCATGTTTATTTTTGGATTAGGAAAAAAAAAGTGTTTAAACACAACAGCTCATTTTTCCACATGCTTCTCCTAAGCTGCATCAGTTGCAGTATCTTAGCTTTTCCATGAATTTGGCCAAAACTTTTGTCTATAAGGCAACTGATTTTAGAACTTGTTGAATCTTGATGGTACAAACTATCCTAGTCATGCAAATTAAAGGCTGGGCAGATCAAAGACTTGTAAGGAACACAAAGAGAGAATCTAAGGAAAGCATCAGCTTTTACACACCAACCCCAGCTGTCACTAACAAGGCTGCAAAATACAATTACCTTTCTAAAAACAAAAATATAAAGTGACGCATCTAGTGAAATCCCAATAAAATCACCAGTCATATTGACTACAAGAGTCCAGCTTCGGAAGCATAATAATCCTAAACACCATTCCAAATGTACACTCGAAAAAGAAGGGTTCATAGATAATTAGCTATTGCTTGGTGCCTAAAAGAAATTAACTAATTACCTACTGAGAGAATGGAATAGCTAACTAGCTCATGCCTAGTGCCTAAAATAAAGAAATAAATTAATGGCAATTTCAATTGAATTAGTAAACTGACATGGCAAATTCAATTTAAATTAATAAACTAAAAAAAAAAAAAACAAAGAAATAAAAGCTGAAGAAGAAGAAATAAGAGAAGACAAAAATGGGAATTTATACGCACAACAAAGAAGTAAGAATGGGAAAAAACAGTCTGCTATATACGCAGCATCGAGCCAACACTGTGTGTGATTACTTATGCAATTTAGTAACTTCTTTTTTTTATAATGGTGTCGTTTAAGTAGCTTGGCCCACCTCGACTAATGACTAATCTACCGAGTACCTTCTAGCTCCCACCCGCACAAGTATTGGTTAACTTTACCAACACCAATACCTAAGAACCCATATAGCATAGCCTCAATTGCAATTGTACATTGGCTCCCAAGGTTGTTACCCAACTCTTTGACTGCTTGGACACCCCCTTGGAGCTTACACTATGTAATAACTAACAATGAAGACAAAAAACTGAGCAGTTTGGTACATTTTGCTAATAGTTATTTGTGGTTCATATATAGAAACAAACTTCTGCAAAGGCGGGAACCTGAGGTTGTCCATTCACATCCTTTTGAAAACTTCCTCCTAACTCATTTATTTGGAATGCAAAGATTCCATTAAAAGCAAAACATTTATTGGATAATGGTCCGTGATTGGCATAACATCAATTGCTATATAAATTGAAAATACCTACTCATCCTTGAGCTTAATCATCAGATTGTGTGTCGGAAGGGGAACAAGACATTTCTTTTCATCTTGATTCTACAGTCTATGCAGTCAAAGTGCAAGGGACTACAACCTAAAACCAATTTATTGCTATATCAAGTCTTGAGCAAATTTCCTGTTGCTTCGTGGGGTAATGCTGCAAGCCTCTTCCTAGGTATCCATCCACTGGCAGATCTTCAGTGAGACCAGGAGTTTTTTTGTTTTTTTTTTTTTTATGACAAGGGAAACCCGCAGCCGCTACTCTTTGGTGCGCACAGGATAAAACCCCCGCTCCTATGCAATAGCTCGCAAACCACATAGGAGAGGTAACCCGCACTAGGCAATCCCGGTGCGATGAACTCGACCCAAAAGGCAAACCCCTTGCTTTTGCTGACAAGGGGTTTCGAACTTGAGACCTCCAACATGAAAGTCTCAAGCCCAAACCACTGGGCCACCCCGAAGGGTACCAGGAGTTTCTATTTATTTGTTAAATTTCAATTGAATTTCCAGCTTAGCTCAAGGCACACCTAGTCCTCTTATTTATGTTTTTCAAAAAACTAATAATTAGGTATCTCAGGCACCTTAATAACAAATACTTTTATCTAATTAATAATTAATTAGTTATATTTACTCAACTTCAGTTAATGCATGTCCACTACTTAGATGTGGTCAAGTACCTGAGGCCCTGGGTTGTCAAAGTACAAAATGAGGCATACACATTAATTAGGGAAGTACCTGACGCGGGAGACCCCACATTTTCAAAGTACAAACGAGGCATAGGCATTAATTAGGAAATGAAAAAAGGGGTTGAACTATATAGTTCAAATATCCCAAAAATTCTTTCACAACTAGATTGGGACAAAATATTGAATAGGACCCTCTTGTAATTGCATACTCAGAATATCAGTTGGACCCAAAGGGAAAGACTACCAGTAAGAACACCCACATGTCTATAAATTCTTCCCCAAAATGGAAATACTTATTACTAGAACTATAAACCAAGAAAAAATATAATGGGATTAGTGGTGTGTCATGAAAGTAATACAATGTAAATTCTATGTCAGTTCATCGAATGGACAAAAGAATCAAATATTACATCTCCCAATTTTTGCATCCAGAAACTAATATCACCATTATACAAGACCTGATTGTACCTGTAACATAAAATAGGAGTCTATCCTTCAGTTGTTAATGCATGTAGTAAAACTCTTAGGAGTAAGTTTGACATAAAACCAAGTGAAGTCTAAACACATGACAACAAATTCAAAGAAAAAAGTTATCTTTGGAAACTGAATTCACCCAAATAAAAGACATGGAAAGCAATTTTCTTACCCGAGTTACAATGACAAGTTTCTCAATAGCCTCATCATTAACGTACATCTCATCATCTTCTTCATCAACTCTTCATGAAGCAACACCACCAAGATTTAACAATATAGTCAGCAATATTGAACCATTAAGAGATATTAGCTCATACAAAGTCTGTCCTCACAGTATGATTTGGTTGTTCCATGTGGAGTTAACAGATAAATCAAGTAACAGTGACAGCAATTACCATAAATTCTTTTCTTTTTTGAGAAAAGGCAAGTATTTACATCCAAAGAAGAAACAAAAAGAGAAGAGTCTAACCTGGTTATCTACACAAGAATTTTATGAATTGTAACAGGGACCATAAATTCTTCTTCCTCCTTAGACTCATCGCAGGAGCTCGTAACTATAAGATCACTAGTTAACATTTTTAACCTATTTCGGGCAAGCAGATGACTTCCTACCAGGCACCAGCTATAGTAAAAAGATCCAGATACAAAAGCTATATATTTTTTAAATATGCCCACAGGCATAACCAGTCTCCTTCAGATACATACCAATACTCAATTTATAGAAGCAAATCAAGTATATAAGTATCGCTATATGATTTTTTTGAGGGGGCAAATGTTAAAAATGCATATAAAACAGGTTTTTCACCTTGACCTTACACAAACAAACAAGAAGACACCTATAATATTGACCAAATTGGTTAGATTCTGGGAGGAAAGAGATGATCAAATTTGCGAAGTGTACAAGTAAATGAAACATAATATGACCAAATTGCATTAGATAAGCTGAACAGCAACATATGTAAACAGCAGTGCCAGTCATCAGCATATCTTTGTGCCGAAACAAGCCAGCGATGAAGCAAAACCAAGAGAAATTCTAACAAATTCAGATAAGAAAATAAGTAAAACAAAGTTACAGAAATCGTCTATACCTTCCACTCAAAGAGGACTGGTCCTTTTTATTTTCAAGCTCCATCTCTTCATCAAGCATGAATGTGCTCGAGAAATCATTAGATAAGTCATCTACATTCTGTTCTACAACATCTGATGCCATAACCCTTCTTGCATCACCACTTCCTTTGTCAACTCTGTGAGTTGAACCATGGAAACCAGATTTCTTCCTACTGTTTTCTGCTTTACTAAACACTGATACTTTTTTAGTATGTTTCTCTATTGATGCAAGCTCACCTACACGATTTTCTTGGGAAAATCTGACTTGAATTCCATCCTCCTTATTTTCATTGACCTCATCATTCTTTATAACCTTCCCCATTGAGTGTTCCACCGGAGTCGAAGGGGATGATTTCTGATCAGCACTAGCTGAAACCCACTTTGACCATTCATCACGTCTTCTCAACTTGTCTCCCTGCAGAAATTAAGCAAACAACACATTAACAAATAAGGACAAAGGGACAGGAGTATTTAATGTAAAAGGCAAAGATAAACATAAATCTACTGATAGGCTAACTCCAAAACTCTCTGTACTAGCAAATTGCCAAATTAGTCTCAATACATTTACCCAAGTTGCAAATTTGTTATGATGCCGTGAAGTCAGTAGGAAAGGAAAGACCAGGAAGGGAGGATTGGAGCAGCAAATAAGAAGGAAAACCAAGGAGGGAAACCTACAAGTTGAACTTTACCTTTCTGTTTCTTTTGTTTCACCTTTGCTTTACTTTTTTGTTTATTTTCTTCTTTATTGATCATATTCTGAATTTCTTTACTTCATTTTTACCTTACATGGAGGTCTTAGTATGCGTAAAAGCAATTAAAGGATGTTTAGGATGCAATACAAACAGTTTAGTAAGAGAAAACTGGAACATATATGTAAAAATTAGTTGGGAAATTTACTTTTTTTCATGCCAAAAGGAAAGGAAAGAGGCAATGGGGTATTCAAGCAAAAGGGAAAGCATTTTACCTTTACTTCAACAGTGCTTGAAGCCTGCAATGCATCAATGATAAATGCTATATCTGTACTCATTTTTTTAACCTGAAGCAGAAATGGAAAAAAGAATATCTGCAATTAGAGCTTTTTCATTTCACAGAAAGGATAAATGCTTAAATGTGTCAGACAAAAGTAAAAGACGAGAAAACAATGGACCAAATCCAAGTTTAACACATGAAAAGATGACGGCCTTCAATATTTAAAATAAAAAGCACTGCATCCTATCAGTAAATGTGAGTGTTTCTGAGAAGTTTTGAGATTGTACCCTTTTGAAGTCGGCAATAATAGAGATTGGAACCCAACCTTGATCGTCCATTAAGGAAAGCAAGTAGTGGTCATTCTGCAAATTCTGATCACTGCCAAGGCAAAAGGTACATATTCTTGATATCAATCTACAATAGTCAAAAAATTCTAGGACAATTGCTGGCAAAGTAATTAACCCACAAGAGCTGTATCTGTGCAACAATAATTCTTTTTCTTGAAATATACATTCAGTAAAGAGTGGGATCATCCTCATTATTAAAACTTCAACATGTCATTTTAAGGAGTGTCCATGAAAAGGTCGCCTACTATTATTCCTGTCCTACAAGATTACAACTGTAACTATACGATACCAATGAAGATGCAAAGAAAACCATAATCAGGGAATAATTACATCTATTCAAGAAAACATTAAGATAACCAACACAAATAGAACTTTTTCTTGATGTAGTCACCTGAAATAGTATTCAATTTGCTTCAATATGCTCTCTCTCAAAGCTAATGCAGGTGATGGTGGAGTAGAGGCTCCAGAGCTAACAGGATGTGGGACAAAGAAAGGTGGGTAAGGCACTCTCACAGGAGGGGGAGAAGGAAGAAAATATATAGCTCCTGGATGACCTGTAAAATAGTCAGCTGTCATTCACTTTTAAAAACAAATCAAAGACTGAAAATAAACAATTAATTACACTGGTGAGATGAAGCTGTTAAGGATAAGGGGTAACAGTTGATAAGGTCAATATTAGTGCCATCCGCAAAGCACCACTATAAGTGAGGGAGAAATAGGAGCAGTACAACTTAAAGGGTAAAAACCCAGGGACATCAAGCTACTTTAGATGGTAATTGCCATATGCCAATTTTGTATTTTTAAGAATAATGAGGTCACTTATTCATGAAATTAGTTCTGCATAAATTACCAGGAAAATTTGCACCATCCATGTAGCCCGGGGCTGGACCAAAATATGGAGGCCTTAGGAAAGGCCTTAGCCCCATACTTTGTTGCAGCTGAATGTCATCTTTAGAACCCACAGGTCGCTGATTAGACAAGGCTGAACTAAACTGGCTACCACGTTCTTGTGTATTAGGTCTTCCTCTGTAGAATTTGGCATCTTGGTCATTTGGATCCCCACGTGATGGGGGGCGAAACCCACCATTTATAAGGGGTACAAAAGCTTGAGATGCAGCATCACCATCGGACCTAGCCACGTGACCTTCAGCTCCTGAGAAAGACCCTCGAGGGGGCTGGTATGCATACCCTGGAAGAGGAATATGTGGCATAGGTACCATACTTTGATAAAAAGGAGGGAATCCTGATTGGTGGTAAGCCAAGGGCACAGGAAATGATGGCACACCATTTTGGTTGTGCCTAGGCCCTGGTCTTTGTTGAACTGCAGATGATGACTTATTTGAAGACTTGGCACTAGAAGATCCATGGAACTTTAGCTGCTCACCTCGGACCTACAAGACAACAGATCATCAAATATATTTCATGGTAATACATCCTAATTCATGGTAGTAGGGAATAAATCCATCCGCAGAGGTGTAATGACCGCACAAAGTCGCCATATTATGAACCTATTTGAATGTACCAGATATGGTGCAGTATCTTGCAAAGGTATCAGACAAAGTATTACTTCGACACACAGTCAACAGACATAGAACAATGACTAATCAGTTTTGACATTTAAGCTGAAAAGATGGAAGAAAAGCACATTACAAGAACATCAAAAATCCCAAAAATTATGACAACTAAAAGAACTACACCTTAATCCCAAGCTACATGGATCAGCTATACGAGACCACAATATCTATTCGGGTGACTGTTTCTGCAGCAGTACACTTCTTCTCTAGCAATTGTTCGACAACACTACACCTTTTTTTGATAACCAATTTGGTGACATCTCTCAGCTTTCGAGTGACTATTCCAGCGGCAATGAGCCTCTTTCCAATAATCGTTTTGATAGCACCAGTCCTATTCCAACCAGCATTCTGCCATTTTCTGCAGCAAAATTTTTCATGACTGAAACAACAATGCCTCCTCTTATAGTAGATGCTCCAGCAACACTGCCTCTTCAGATAATTCAGCCAGTGGCATTTCAACTATCCAAATAAACATTTAAAATGTTTGCCACCTTGAACTTGGAGGGTGCGTTCAAAATGTCAAGAGAATCATTCAGAATATTGTTTCTTCCAGAACTCATTCACTTCCAGACATTCTCTTACCACCGTTACTGGCATCAAAATGATGCAAATCTAATTCCTTATGAAATATAAGTTTCTTTTTTTTCCTTTGGCAGTAAATTGAAACATTTTGTTATTATATCAAACAATTTAAGTGTGTAAAATACTTAATACTAGTTCTGTCCCAAACAATGATATAGTCAGAATATCTTCATTCCATATCTTCCCTTCTTTCTACATGTATATATACAATCAAAGATACACTTACAAATGGCGTCTTAATAGTTCAAAAATCAACTACAGATCATTGCTAGAGTAAACAACAACCCATCACATATACCCACAAATATTTTCCCCTTTACACCAACAATCGTAAATCAATACAAATAACAAACAAAAAAAATGAAAAAACCAAATTAAAAAAAAGCACTTTTATCCTAATGTAATTAAAAAAAAATCAAACTAACCTTTTCAGAAGCAACATTGCGGCTGCCTCCAATCTCCTGCTGCGGCGGAGGTGACGGCAACTTAGCGGCGGAACTTAAATCACTAGCCTTAATCATCTGCTGAGCATCAGCAAGTGCCGGCCAGGATTCAGAATCAGCATCCCCTAACGTCACAGAAGACTTATCAGCCGGCACCGGCGCCGGCGCCGTCACCGGAGTCTTCCACGGCGACTTTGGAGGCTCAATCACCTCCTTCTGATCATCTCCAGTACTCTCATTTTCCGCCATAGTCAGCAATATATATATAAATTCAAATTGAGTGATATTCCGATAAAGAGAAGGCGAAAACGGCGGAGCTTTACAGCGGTGTGTGGTGGCTGAGAGAGAGAGAGAGATACTACTAGGGTTGAGGAGTGTTTTCAGACAAAGAGACAAAATATTGAATGTTGTCAAACAGTGACAGCTTCACTCAATGCTCTATATTTATACTTCAACACAAAATACGTTTAACTCCGTCTATTTTTATTCGTTCACTATTCACTCCCACATATTAATAATTGGGATAACATATCCCAAAATTGAAGTATTAGTATTATCGCACTTATCCTAAAATAACTTATTTTCCAACCAAACGAGTCCTTAAACGGCAAAAAATAAAATTACGATATCAACCGTTGAATATAATTAATTTCATGCTTTTAAAATAGTAAATTATAAATTAAATGGTTAAAAATAATTCATTTTTCAAATTAAATACTAGTAAAAGTGGATTTTTGTTTTTAATATAATGAATAAATTGAGTAAGAAGTATTATTTTTTGTCTCAAAATAATTGTCACTTAAGTAAAAAATGAATAATGTCACTTTAAAATTCAAGACAAAAGTATTACTTCCAAGTTCCAACTATACATTCTATTTTTTTTATAAAAAAAAAAGCCAATTCGTCGATTGATCAATTTTTTTTAAAATATCTAATTAATAAAAATAATATAGTAGATTATATTTTATATTAATTTTTTTAATAGATGTGAAATGAGGTAAAATAGATTTATTTTGATTGAAAAAGTATAGGTATTGCTGATTCCAAAAAAGATAAGATTGGACTATTCAGACTATAAAATCTAATTTAAAGATATTCTCACTACTAGTTAGGAAAATTTTACGGACTGTTATCCAACTTTCATTTGTTTATTACCTTTAAAAAAAATGAAATAATAAAAAAGACGCTTAAATTTTGCGTAAAATTTAATTTTAAAAATACTATTTTTTGTAACATACTACAAACATTATCCGACACAGTTTTAACAAGAGATACTTCCTATGTCCCCAAACATTCTGGTTATGACAACAGTGGGGTTAAGGGTATATTCAGTATACAAGAAAATACTTTTAGGTTTTTTTTATGTTTAATTGGTCAAATTATTTGAAAAAATATTTTTCGTTCCTTAAAAACTTAAAAAATAACTTCCCTAATAAAGCAGGAAAAAAAGTCACATTCCACATTGACTGCTTAAACTCAGGTATGGCCCAAAAGAAATGAATTTTTGAAAAAGCATACAACAAATGACAGCATATGATTTTTAGAATCCTACAAAGATTCCAGCGTTGCCATTTACATATAAAAAAGCATAATTGTTGCATTGTCACAACCACCAGGTTAATCCCTATGCATTTAACAGATACTTAGCAAAATTGTTCCGGGGAACAGAAGCGCGAAAAAGATGCATGGGAGACCTGAATAGGGCAACAGACCTAATATTGTGCCGAATAACTAAGGAGTTCTGGGAGGTCACTCGGACAAGGTTCAGACTCCAAGTGCTGTTAAACTAGAGCTATTTACAGAAACCATTCGTCTAAAGCATACATTAACCGCGTACAGTAAAACAGGAGGCGCACAGGCCTCAACAGAAGAACATGGAGCTAGCAACATTCTCTTGAAGACGGGGCAACTGAGGAACAGTAACTGGACCAGCATTTGTCAGACCACCATGGCTTGACGATGTCTCTGATGCGTCCTCGAATTTCATCCATTGTCCCACCTGTGTGGCAGCCAAATGGGCATAACTTATCGGAGCCACTGCATAGAACCGAAAAGAAAGTGAGGGCACAAGCAAAAGGAAAATATAACATAACTTATCCAAATATGCTTATATTTACCAATGGATATAGCAGTAGTGCTTCTTTGGTACCTGCAAGAAGTGTATAACAATTAGAATTACCGCAACTGCTATGATTTAAAAGTTTAAAATTCGGGCCAGCTACGAAGAATCCAATTTATGCAAATACTCACACATAGGACAGATTATGAACAAGTTCTTGAAGTTCATCAGGTGAGAAACCAACTTCATCCAACAACACATGGTAATGTGTAGGTCGAGTCGTACCCTACAACAATATCCAAGTAAACATCATATGATATAAACATTACACCAAACTTCAACGAAATGGCACAAAACAGAACAAAACACTCACAATCATTCCCGCGTGGGCACACAGATAGAAGTCGTTGTTCCTTGGATGACAAACTTTGTTATCTATAATTGTCCCTGCAAAAAATCTGTGTAAACAAATTGATCCAGTGCTTTCGCTACAACTAAAATTCGCTGCAACTTCTATTATTACCTGGTGGAACATTATCAGGAGATCCAGACTGGAAAAACTTTGTATGATGATTTTTCTGAGCAACAATGATAACAAACTTGGGCGACCACTTTTCATCTAGAAACTTGCAGGCCTACATGGATAGAACAGATGAGTTAGCACGAGAATCTCTCGTATTTTCCAAATTATATATTAAGACAGCATTTATCAGAGTGCAGAACCTCAATGAGCTGGTCCAGTTCTATGTTTAGAACTTGATTAAATTGAGATTCACTGACACCATCCCTGACATTTCCAAGAGGGGCCATTAGCAAAGCCGTCAAAGAAGTGTACAAAGTTCACTGCTATGTGACAATGTTAGGCAGGTGGAACACACAGTAATAATAACAAACAATAGAACAAGAGAAATGTCAACAGCTACTCCTCATTCCCAAGAGTTGGACCAGCTTCATGAATCCTCATAAACAATTAACTGGATAAAAATGGTGGAAATAGAGGTAGAACCACAAAAACTCACCAATGTCATGTTCAATACAAATTTCTGAAGATTTAGACATTCATCATAAGTGTAGTGTCAATAATAGAGCAATAGCACTTAGAATGTATATAATTTGCTGAAAGCAAAATGGTGAACAGGCTGGGTTAGATCACCTGAATACTATAATGTGCTCAGGCTTCCTTTTCCCGGAACTCACATAAAAATCTAGCAAAAGTTCCCTGCATTTTGAAATTTCATTATTATCAGAAAGTTAAATCTGGAAAACCAAAAGGATACCACCAACAGAATTGCAAAAGAAACCCGCAAACCATTAAGCAATTAGTTTTACACCATAAGAAAAGCAGTAAACCATTGGAAAGTGAAACCAAACTTTAAAATGCATAACATACTGACAATACAACTGAGTATTCCAGAAACTGATTAGGCAGAACATCACGGAACCAGTGGTATTTGATTGAGGAGCTCATTTGACATGAAGAAACACAATCCAAACTAACAAAGTATTATGCTATTCTCTTTTTCCATAAGGCATCACAATTCTGGTGAAGCAACTCCCTCGAGAGTCGAAATACAAAATGTAAACTATCAAAACAAAAATAAATTATCTATAGTGCAGCTAAACCGACTCAAAGATCAAAATGGATGTGTTAGAAAGCATAGCATACTCTATCATATAAGTTTTTAAGTTCCGACCGGCCAAAGTTAATTCACCCTGGCCCAAAAGAAAACAGTCCAAGAGAAAGTTAAAACCTACAAAACCAAACTCACCTCATAATCCCATCATCCTCAGTGTCTGAAACTTTTTTAAATATGTTATCAATCATCTCTACTTTAGGAGATTGAGTGCGCACGGAAGCTCTATAACGAGATATTGACGGCCACTGCCTTGAACTCACAACCTGACAAAGCAATAGTATAAAATGAAATTCTTTAAACATATAAAAGGCAATCAACATCAATGAAAGAACCTACTGCAGCAATTGATGGGACATCAGACTGGCCGGGAGAGCCATGTGATACGTCCATTCCAAGAATCATGGTGGGGACCTTAGATACCATGGGGATGGAAGGAGAAACTTCCGCAGCTAACATAGAATTTAAACCACCGAGCTGCCAACAGAAATTGTGATGTTTAAGACTGATCCAGGAAATGACGGAAGAAAGGAAGGTGCCAGGATGATAGCACTGAACCAGATGCACAGAGAACTCTCACCTTAGCATTGATCTTAAGGAGAAGGTTTGTGAGATACTGATCATTAACTCTTCCAGGAGCCAAGCATTGGGTTACTATACCATGATCAGCCAGATTTTTCCGCTTCCATGGTCCTTCAAGTTTCATCAGTCAATTATTTTAGTAATTAGTACTTATGAGATACGCTTAGTGGTCCTTAGTGGTCAACAGAACAAGAAAATCGGACTAACCATATATGTCACAATTTTTCCTCTCAGGAAGAAGACAGAGAAGAAACTTCGGGGCACCAGGAAGTTTTGACTGGATCTCTTCAAACATTTTGTCAACTCTGACAACAGGTGGAGCCCTTCTAAGCTGTGGAGACTCTTCAAACACTTCAAATGGAGCTTCCACACTCTGTAACGTTAAAACAGGAATAATGAAAATCGTCCTTTCTACTCAGTTTTAAAGTAATAGAAGTTGATAAAACATACAATTCCTTTCGTCTCTCCAAGTCTTGTCAAATCTCTGACTAGGCCACGGACGTCACAGCGTGCAGAAAAGTTCACAACAGCCCAACGTTCTACCTTTGCTGGATCAAAGAATCTCTGCCAGAATAGATAAAAAAAATAAAAAAAATTCAAAGTACATCTTAACAACAACTACACTGCAATACCAAGCTAGCATGTAGTCAGCATACGATTTCAAAGCCAACATCATCTTAAATGAGATTATGAAATGAATCCCATCGATCCTGTGGAAAAATCATATGTGAAGAAGAGTTCAACTATACCTTATTATTGAAGTTCCACCTGCCATTTCGGGTGAAAAGGTCATCTCCATTTCCTGCCTTCAACTGCCACAGAACAAATATATTATCTCAAACTCACTACATGAAGACTCAAAAATATAGCTAAAAGAAGTTATAATAGATAGCATACCTTAGGAGCAGGCAGCACACGCCCTTCAACCTGTGTGAAGTTGCTACTGATTGAGACACCACAAGAACGAAGTAGAGGCTCAGCATCATAATTGTTGATTTTGAGAGCCTTCCACAATCCAGTAGGAAATTAGTTAAGCATAACTAGAGCAAGCAAAAGATCATGTGTTAGGGTAGAAGAGACCTACATTACTCAAAATTTCCATTCTCTCCTGAGGCTTTTGCCTAGACTTCTCCACCAAGGAAGCCCTCTGAAAGGTGGACAAGGCTTTTGTGTACCTTTGCAATGAGACCAAAGTGCAGAGCT